ATTCTGACCGAACGCGCATGTTTCTTTTCCTCGTCTCCTACAGTTGAGACGCTCTCATTGTCGCTACGGTTGCGGTGCCGCGAAATCGGAAGTGTCCCCATGTTTACGAGTGGGCGGAAGAAGCGGTTGTACACTATGAATGTATCTTGATCGCCCCTGAAAGCATTGGGTGGAGTGGCCATATATATGCTTCTTCGTCGGATCTCGACGGCGTCTTCTGTAATCGTCCGGACGTTGCAGTGCTTGTAAATTGAACTCAAGATTGGAATCGACAGCCCGTGAACCAAAATCGAGAACAGCACGAGAAAATATACCACTAGTATAGTTAGCGACGAGTTGTAAGGGTTTATGAAACAGATTACACGAACCTGGGCCTATTGCATCGAGCAAGTCACGCTCTCCCGTGCTAGCCGAATTTTCCTTGGGAAATAGGAGCTTGGTGTGTTCAAGGTAGTACACTGCCCCGACGCCTATAGGGCCGAAATATCCCATAAATACTGCTTCCTTCCAATTCTTGACAACATTCGGCATCATTTTATATGTGAGAAGTATAGCAGGGATTCGGCGAAAGAGTAGAACAAGAAGACCTAAGCCTATTAGGCGAGGGTAGGTGATTCCTGTGGTGTCGGGTTGGTTGAAATCCTGCCACGGTATAGCAATGCCGACGTACAAGAAACCGCCAAAATTAAGCAGAACGTCGATGCACGAGTTCACTTCGTCGTGGCGGCGTTCCGTTTCAGCGAGGAACTCCCCGTCCCAGTTCAATGCGCAACCCGCCACAAAACAAGCAAGAAGATCACTAGTGCCGAGAGCTCCACAAGTTCCGACAATAAAAAGCTTTAGACAACATTAGTTTGGCCTCGAAAAGAAAGAATAACATGGTTAACATAAAACTTACACCTAATGCCGTTGGGAATAGAAGATAGCTTTCCGTGTCGATCCATCGCTTAGATAGCGAGAACCGCACCGCCATCCTGGCGCAGAATCCGGTAACCGCACCATAAACAGTGGCTAATAAAACAATGTAAATGAGAGTTTCTATGACCCAGTTCCCTAGGGCAATGCCAACGTCTTTCGTATCGTCGCCAACACCTCGACCACGCTCCACAAGAGTTTGCTGGCGGTTCTCCGTAAGACGCAGGAGGTTCACAGCAAGCATGAGGAAAGGGGACGCGAAGCCATCGTTGGCACCGGCCTCGGCGGAGATGATCTCTCGGAGAGGTCGAGGCACATACTTGTCAGCGAAAGGTCCTTTGGCCACGGCTTGCGACAGGATCGGATCCGTGGATGTGACACATGCTCCGATGACAAGGGTCGCAAGCAGCGAGACCTTGGGTATTGTCGCAAGCACGCAAACGGACGTTGCTAACCACATCATCGCCATGATGGGAACGAGGCATACTATTAATTCCTTATAGCGCAAGTGGATATACCTAGCCGGTAGTTGGTATCCAGCGATGACACTATAATGGCCCAGAGCCTAGTCAGTTACTTGGCTATTCCAACGTTGGAAGCTTGTCTCATGGTATAACCACTGGTGAACTGACAGTTGAATACCAATCATCACCCGCATCACGCCAAGAGTGATAGCATCTTGCTGGTCCGGAGAGGCTGAGCCCCATCGCTTGGCATCTAGAAATTTTGCCGCGATAGGACCCAAGATCATACCAATAACGACTGCCGGCACTAAGAACAAGACTCGGTTAATAGGCGAACATAAAAGACTATTTAGAGAATCGCACTAACATGCTTCCCCAAGATACCAGACGCCTTTTATTTTAACAGCAACCAGGCCATATAATACTATGAATGTACCTAAAATATTAGTTAATATCATCATCTCCTAGACATCCTCTTCGTAGCTTACCAAGAACAGAAACAACGATGTTCAACTCGCTAACATCTAGGGTCGGCATCGTGAGAGGCGCGGCAGGGTGGTAGAATGATTGCGTGTTAGGGAAGAGTCCGGGACGTTCTTCTGGACTCGAACGCTCGACAACATCGAAAAGAGTAACGGGGACACGCCAAGGAAATACATTCAAATAGGGACCCCCGAGTTAGAATGAGATATTGATTAACGTGTAGATCAATATGTGCTGACAGGGATAACGTAAGTGTAAGTCAATGAAATCTCCGGCTTGGCAATCATATTGCGATCCATTCCAGATCTAGGAATGGTTCCCCCTGATGGCTGTATTTCTTCAGCCACAATGTCTGGCTACGATGCGTCTAAGCTTTTCGCAAAGACCCGATTGACACATACCCGTGTTCTCCCTCCCGTCCGTCTCAGACATTTGTCTGAGCCGCCCTTAGACATCAACGGTCAACAAGTCCAACCAGCTCGGCACCCGGCAGGGAAGCTTGCCTCATAGGCTTTTATTGGTGACCGGTGTGGCTTTCGAGTTACCAATTATGTGTACCAAGTTGTCGCATCACAAGGAACGGTTAGCTGACGAGTCAAGTATGACAGGGGATGTGGATTGGATCAGCAACTAGCCCATTGTTGCACCTTACCATGGTATCCCCAACGCGGAAATACCATAATTGAGAGTCTGGTATCCGTAAATGTCGATAATATACAAAATGCCGATAGTGCCACGGAGTGTGTATAACTAATGAACTAGATAATTGCGGATGTTTCAACCCGAATCAGTCTTGAACAATGCACGAGGACGCTATGTGTAATATCTCAGCTAGAATATATTTAGTCAGAAGTCAAACATGGATACCAACACGTTGTGAGAGATGAGAAGAATGACTTGTCAATTCGCCAGAAGGAAGATAATGATTTGTGGAGAGAGTGTTCCCGGGGATCTAGAACAGTAACCGTCTTCTAATCTCGTAACACACTATGCTGCGCTACAGAGAATAACAAGTTTATACATTATTTCACGAATGACATAGCTTCTTAGACGGCATAGCCGATCAAGTTTCAAAGCGATACCGCCTTAAGGAGCAACGGAGTCAATCAATTCTTTTCCCTAAGGAGTCTCGGCCACATCCCGGTTGTATGAAGCCTCTTTTTACCTCTTACGCAATCACAGACTACCTAGTAGAGAGCAAGTGCCCGTCCTTTTAGGTGCTTTTCTAATGTGAAGTTGGGAGGCAAAATGGCGTCAAAATAAACGAAGCATGTGCGAGCATGTGCTAATGTCACTGTATCCTACTGTGCGCTCAGCTATCCCCTCGACTACTTTTCTAAGCAACTTTTACGCATCATAGCTAGCAACAGATGCTAATTAGATAATAAGGGGATAGTTTAACACACAATCCAAAACATGCTCCATTTACATATTTTGACGCCATTCTGAGAAGTAAAGATTTACAACGCTGATCCTATGCCACATGGTCTGTCCCAGTCAGTCCCGTTTAGGGCACGGGAGCAGGTAGGACCATTCTCTTTGTTGTTGTGTCTCATCGCACAAGCTATACCTATCCTCTCCTGAGTTCAGTTAACTTCTCCTTTAACGTTAAACATACGAGATATCGCCTAGTCTGATCTACAACTCCTGCTGCTTCTGCCGCATTCCGACTACCAACCTCCCAATGACGTACTTGATCACCTTCTTACACCGCGACACAACGCGATTAATCTTCGCCCCTCCAGAGTCTTTTCCAAACTTCCATGGGTCGTACAGTTGTCGTCATACGACGAAAGGGTCTCAAGCTACTCCTTTTACAACTTTGCCTCACGGTTTGACAACTAGCTCGCGACTATAACCGAATGATATGTGTATCTAGACGAGTTCGGGTTTGTTTTGCACCACCTTTCCGTCGCTGCGTCGCAGACCGTTATCCACAATATTAGGTTATCGTGCTATTATTCCTTAACTTCAATGTTGCAATGATCGTCGCTGATTGACATTCTAGGAAACGAGACTCCCGATATAATAACTACTATTCGCCAACAAAGCCCTGCAAAAAGCCGCCTACCCCCGTTCAATGAATCTCCAACCACATATACCGTACAAAGAACAGGTGCACGCCCTACATTGTTTTTCACCTTTCACTCCGTATCTAATTGAATATATTTACAACTCTAATGAGACCCTGCTCATTCGATTGCGACCGTAGTTTAGTAGAAATATCTTCCAATCTAAGTGCAGGCTAAATCGGTCAAGTTACCTGGGGGGCAGCGCGAGGAGTAACATGCATTTGCACCAAAGTTCGTATGGCAGATACTAATCAGAGAAAGCGGCTTCGTTCCAGCGCCACACTATTGAAATGTAATACTATTGAAATAGTAAAATTTTAATTTTTAGTCTTTTAGCTTTGTAACAGTTACTAGGTATATGATACGGCTATAGCCACTAAATACGTTGACTAACTTATTTTCCACTCACCTAGGTAATCTTCAGATCTATTGGTCTACCGATCTATTTGTCACGGCCAAAACCAACATAGAAGAACGGGTGAAGGTTTAGAACGCCCTACCCAGGTTGGAATACAGCCCCACTATTCCATGTTAAAAGTTTTAAGTTGGTGTTGCTGTAAGTGATGTTATACGAGGTGTGAAGGGTGCAAGTTTGCGCACCGTTGCCTAAGTACCTAGTTAGCAGAATAAGGTAGTAAAAGCAGTGATGAAAGGAGTAAAATGGGGAAAATGGTTTTATTCTTTCGTATATACTTACCTTCTCATATCCCTTTAATTGGCAATTGCGTGCAAACAAGGCTTATTTGGTAGGTAGAATACTAACCTAGGTACTATCAGCAAATCAAAATCAGCTTTTAGGCGTGGCAGTGGGCTCTTTCTTACCTGTGCGTGAGTGTATTCTACCTTCTAAACCATGTTTGCAAACAGTTGCCAGTTAAGGGGATAAATTATATAAAAATACTGAGATATAATAAAAGTCTTTTCGAAATAGAAATGATTTGAAAAAATGTAAAGATTTTATAATCTATATTTTGCCGCTATGGTGGTGTATGTATGTAGTATGTATGGAGTACCTTGTATGTAGTAGGTAGGTAGGTACTGTTTTAAGAAGAAAAAAAAAATCCTGTCCCAAACCCAGGATTCGAACCTGGAGCTGCGGTCCCCAATAGGGCTTAAGGTTTACTCAACCTTAAGTGTCATTCGCTATGTTGCCATTACACCAGCTTGGGTTATACTATGTTCGTCTATATTTGATTCATTATTCAAATATAATAAGCCTGTCAAATTGTCAAAGTTTGGCTAGCATGAGGTCAGAGGTATCAGTGGCGGGCAGCGGATTATGTGATTACATAATAACCTTCGTAAAACTCGAGCAAAACAGTCGCCCGACCGCATGTATTTTGAACGGAAACTCCAAGCTGTTACGGATGAAATAGCGTCGAGGGAAGACTAGGAAAGAAGGTAAATAATGATATAATTTTTTTTAAAACAATATTCCTGAATACTATTTGAAGCAAAGCTTCAATTATGTAGATGGTAAGTTAGGATGCGCCCTAATCCTTTTGGTCAAACGGGCTCCTTGAATGGCGGGGTACATACAGGGGCGACGGCGGGGCGGACGATGGCGCATAACAGGTATCAAGCACAGCTTGCTCACTTGGCCTGTTGGTACCGACATCCTTGATTGATTGGCCAATCAAAAAATGGCACTGTTAATTCCGGGCTCCGTCACGCCTATCTTCTAGGTTCTTTCACTTCATAAACTTCGTAAATACCGCCCATGCGGGACGAACTGTAAATATTCCCAAGATCATCGTCACAACATCACAACATCATAACCCCATACTTATTATTTCGTCATCTGCTCTCGCCAAGTTAACGAAAAACCTACAGAATGAGCGAAATGGAATTAAAAGACCAACGCTCACCCATTTCTACTCTTTCTAATGAGCTCTTACTGTCTATCTTTGAGTCCGAATTGCCGCCTTCAACATTGCTCCAATGCATGCTTTGCTGCAAACGATGGTCGCCTCTATCTTCATCCGTGCTATACAAGCACCTCGCTCTCACTACAGATACGCTTTCTAGATTCGTGAGTTGTCCGAGCTCAAAGGACGCGCTGGTCGAGACATTCACACTTCGCATAATCCCCGTGAGATCTCCAGAAGCAGAAAATATAATCCGCCAACTACAGAGTAATCTCGACGAGCTCACTTCGCGACTTGCGAAGATGGTCAATTTACAGAGTTTTTCTCTTTTTGCTCCATCCAAGCTCCCTTCTTCCCACTGGGTACCTGATACGTCGATTGCTGTCATTCTCAGCAGCCTACCCCAAACTTGTGTCTGTCTAGAACTCAATGTTAAGTATTTGCCCCATGTCGGTATCGTCGACGGGGATGAGGAAGTACACTTATGCGCTTCAATCCGCCAAATGATCCCTAGGCTACGGTTTCTACGCCTAAACCTACCAAAAATATGTCCCGAAGCTTTTGGCTTTGGTTTTGACCGCGCTCAGCCGTCAGTTGTCGCCACAGATTTCAAGTCCGTCGAAGCGCCGCATCTCAAGAAGTGCCTTATCAAAATAGCTGAACCTAGACATACCTTCGGTCTCGAACGCTCCCCGGTATGCGGTTGTCCGAATGCCAATATCGTCACTGTTCTGGCAAACCATTTGCAAGTCTTCAAGGCCCCAAGCAATGCTCCAGTACTCGAGAGATTATGGATAGCAGATGTATCACCTACGACAGATCTCTATTCCACTTTTCATGCGTTTGTGCGTCGCGATATACTTGCAGAGAAGAGCCAGTTTCTTCCATACAAGAACATTGGCCTTCACAAGTTCAACAAAGAAGGCATTTTCATTCGCATGCCGGCGGAGGAGGGCGGCGAGGATCTTGTATCAACCATCGAGGGTGTGATGAGCCTGGCAGAACAACACGCCTGGGTGGAAACCATCCATGGAACTAGAATTCCTTCCGCAGAAATCTCTAAGAGGCACTCTCTCGCTCTTGCCAAGCCTGTGATACGAACGGCGGATGAATGGTTCGCAAAGACGAACATAACGTGTATGTTATGGGCAGATGAGGAGAAAACTGCCACACGGTTGCTAGATGCTACGGAAGAAGGTTTAACTGAAGATTCTACGATGACCTTACGAATCCCTGATGGCTGGACTCGTCCGGAGGGCGGCTTTCTACGGAAATTGTAACGATCACTTGTAGCGTAGGTACCTACATATATTAAGTGCATTATTATGGAAATTGCTGGCCGCGGTCTATTGTAAGGCTCTTATACGTAAATATCGGTCCTTTATTTTTTCTATGTGTGCTAAGAATCTCCTAAAGAGCCCATGATCCTACGAGTTACCTACGACGTACTATATCCTGTAATATTGCAGGTTCCATACGAAGCTTGGCTATTAGAGTTTATCAGTAATGGAAATTATATACTAACTTGGGGAGCATTGATTATTTACCAGCCTAGAATGTCCTCACAATAGTATGAGTCAGAGCCACAATATCCTGCAGCGGAGCAACAATCGCCAAACGACGATCCGTTGCAGACAAGGCCGCCAGTGAAGCCGCAGGTGCCATCTTGGCTGACTGATCCAGGTGTTGGAGTGGACGTTGGCGCACTAGAAGTAGTTGTTGATGTACCGCAAGGGCCACTTTGGCAATCAGTGGTGCAGTAATCGGTGCCATTTCCGCAACTACAAATTTATAAGTTTTTAACACCAGTGAGATGATGATATCGCAAGAAATCTTGGCAACTTACTATCCGTACTCGCTGCAACAGAGTCCGAACTTGGGAGGACATTCGACCCAGTCATTCTGGCTCCCGCATAAGCCATCTGTACTATAGGGAATTGGTGCTCCGTAACACTACGGGGGAGAAGTTAGAATGATGCATCTTTTAACTTCACGGGTCTTGGTGAAAAATAGAAGCGTGAAGTGATAAGTTCAGTCTTACTGTGCCCTCCTGACAGTTTCCAAGCCCACAGTAATCATCGCCCGTTCCACAGCTACAGACAGGAGTTAACATTATACTTAGATATAACGGTTGGTGTTTTCTAGGATTACTTACTATCCACCTACACCACAGCAATCTCCCCATTGGCTTCCAATGCAAGTATTGGTCCAGTTTTGCTGGGCGCCACAAAGTCCGCTAGATGAAATCGGCACAGGGCTATCGCTCGCTTTTAGAAGTTAACATATTGAATAAAGAATATCGGGGTAGTGAATTCTATTTACAAGTTGCGATGCAATACGTCGACCCAGGGTTGAAGTTCGTGCAGTTGTCACCAATGCTTGGGTTGACATCCTCAAAGGCATCAAGTGTCAGATTGAACTCCTGGAGAACTTGGGCGCAGCTGCTCCAGAGATTGGTTGTGTAGTTAAGGCGGCAGGTGAAATTGCTCGCCACGGTTTGACGTCGACTCAGCTGGTTATGCCTTTCGAGTAGTCCCAAGCCCAAGTCCTCCAGCAAGGTCGCCGAAGCAATTGACACAAGGACGACATAGAGATAGATTTGAATCAGCATGTTGACGATAATTCTTAACAACAGCAATGTGAATGGTAAATTTGAAGAACTACAACTATTCGTAGTATGAAGCCGACGTTGGCTCTAGAACCGTGGAGGTCAGGACCGGATAGATGGCTTGACCTTAGACCCCTTTTTTCATCTTGAAGCTAACTGTATACCTGCTATTCATGCCCCATTCAATTCTATCTTCTCGGTCATGGGCACACGACAGCTTCAATCTTTTGCGCCGCACTGCTACATAAGCCGGTCAGCTTTTCTCATCTCATTTCAACCACAAATGCTATAGTCATCCCGTGTCTTCCAATCATATTTTGGCGCTGTGATATCGGCCTTTGTAAACTTGATTTCATGCGGCAAGGCTTTCAGCCCCCGATGCTACTGAGCCATTAAACGCAGGTACTGTAGCACCGGCCCTACGGCTCTACAAGGTAATCTGCATCAGCGGATGGACCAAAGCAGTTCAGGCAGGCTAAAAGCAAACAACTGATCTGATTGGTCAGTTTACGTATTGTAACTGAACTAGTGATATCAACTAATCGGACTGATCAGATAGCCATTAAAAGTGGACCCGGGGGAATAATAGCCCCGAGTATTAGGGGCCAAAAATTTAGATTAAGATTTTACTTATTATTGAAGTTATTTCCAACCTTGCTGTCGCTTTTTTCAGATTTGTTACATGCGTAAAGTTTAAAAATAGATATCTCTATTTTTTAACCAATCAAAATCCGTATAAAAGTGGGTCTCGATCAAATTTTTGGCCTGTATAACTGGCAGTTAAATATTTAAACTTATTTGGCCTAATCAGTTTCTCGAAAAATCTTAATTGGTTTGGCCTGAAGCCAGTCAGGCTCAGTCAGGCCAGTTATTGGCCTGGTTTGGTCCATCCGCTGATCTGCATGCGCTATAAGCCCAATATGGCACGATGGCAGTCAAGCTTTTTTTACCACCAACACACGCTAGATTAGCGTAGGAATGCGTTTTATGCAGCCGGCCCGCCCTTTTAGGGCCTCTATTACTAGGTACCTGGTATGTTGAAGAATAAGCACCAGTTTGCCCCGCATAGAGCTAGAATAGGAACAGGAATAGCCTATTTTGCTTATTTGGAGTCTTTCGATTTTTGAACGGCGATGTCAATATTTGCTTTTGGATTGGTATCACAAGATTGAAAACTTAGGTACCCTCAAGTAGTTAAAGAAAATACGTTAAAAACAACCTAACGGCTGATTTTATATGCTTAAATATTCTATAAAAGTACCTACGTAATTAGAGTCGACTCATAGAAGAGACTTCAAAGCTGCCTATCTACCCATGTAGCTTTACAATACCCGCTATGGTCTTTTATCGAGCTATGAGTTCTTTGAGAAAATAATCAACTCACTTTCGGCTGATTCTACCGACCCCCTGCCTACCCCCCTGATGGTAGCTAAGCCGCATAACTCAGCTGATGCACCATGTAATACTACGCTAGCCTATTCTGCCCGTCCTCCGCCATATGATGGGGTTGTTTCTGTTAAGCCTTGCACTTGAACTTCAGTCTTCAAAAAAGCAACAACCAACAGTCCTCTAAAAGCGGTCGAGAAAGCGGTCGAGAAAGCGCCAGAGTGTAGAAGGATTCTATTAGTCACACGGAAGTCCGATGTAAGCTTTTAGGCGAATCAAATCTGCAGGGGATGTGCCAAGGTCTAGA